GAAAGAATGTTGTTAAAATAGGAACTGTGAAACAATAAGAAGTGCAGACAGATAAGGGCAACATGAATAGGCTCGTCCTACATTTGGCCCTGATTAAGTTTGCTGGCAATGTAGTTGGTATTACCAACAGGCAAGGAGTATCTAGAGAGGGGGGGCGGGTGCATGGTGTGGTGTGGAAAGCCTTCCACTTCCCCTCCGTTACTCATGTCACTGATCCCGGGGGGAGGGCAACTGCCTTTGATGTACAGCCCACCCTCAGTCAACTCCCCATGACTCTGACCCATTTGTGAAACTCAAACTACCGAAATCGCAGCTTTTTAAAGGAACTGCAATTTTTTCACTGCATTCCCAAGGGCCGCCGGAATACCCTTCATGATGTCCTCCCCCATCTGAAGAAGGGTCTTCTGCAGCTAGTTGGAGCATAAATATTCTTAAAAAAACGTCATTTTACCCAATATTGACAGTATTATTGTCTGGTTGTTTACATTTACATTTATGTTTATTTAGCAGAGGCTTTTGTCCAAAGCGACGCACAAGTGAGGCAAACAGCACGTTACAAACACATGTGCTGCCAAGGAGTCGACTAGACTTAGGGCTGAGCTTCCAGTGAATGTCCAGGTATAGCCAGGCTGAGCTTCCAGTGAACATACCAGTGAACGCCCAGGTACAGCTAGGCTGAGCTTCCAGTGAACATACCAGTGAACGCCCAGGTACAGCTAGGCTGAACTTCCAGTGAACGCCGAGGTACAGCTAGGCTGAGCTTCCAGTGAACACCCAGGTACAGCCAGGCTGAGCTTCCAGTGAACATCCAGGTACAGCCAGGCTGAGCTTCCAGTGAACACCCAGGTACAGCCAGGCTGAGCTTCCAGTGAACATACCAGTGAACGCCCAGGTACAGCCAGGCTGAGCTTCCAGTGAACATACCAGTGAACGCCCACGTACAGCTAGGCTGAGCTTCCAGTGAACGCCCAGGTACAGTGTAAGCAGCATTGGAGCAAGAGCTGCACAGTATCTTCTAACAAAGCAAGAGCCTAATAAGACTATACTACATGTTTACTCAGACGTACAGAACTATAAAATTTGAATTTAAAAGATGTTAGATGTGTAGCAGACTACTGAAAGAGCATCCCCCTCTTGACTTCCATAACAAAATCATCAGTCATTTAGAGACTGTAATTGGCTTTAAGGTTCCTATGAGCCTCCGCAGAAGTTTTGTTTGACGACGTGTTTAAGACTATTATCACTATTATGGCTGTCCATGGGTATTGTTGAATGTACTGGTGTTCAACATAGTAACTGTTTTGTTGTCTGTTTGCTTAGTGCCCCATCTATATCCTCGAAATCTTTTTTGTTCAGCTTTTCAATTAATTCAAGGTCAATGGCACACAGTTAAATATGTATGGTTGAGTGTGAGGTAACCTGTGTGTCGCCTTTTGTAACCATGGTCTCCCGTTACATTGTCAGTAGCCTTCAGTAACCCGTGGCAACACTTTTAACTTTAGAGTTTAGTTATAAAGTGACATTGCATGAATACGACACAGGGATCTGTTCAGTATCCTGTGCTTTTTTTGATTTGACTGAATGGGGCCGCAGCATTTAACAGCACATACATAAGCAGAGTCATAAATTGCACTAATGCCGCTTACACAATGCCGAGGCGACTCATTTCTCCAAGAAGCAGAGAGGGGGATGTTATAAACAAAACATTTCCCCCATAAATTCACGTGGAGACAATTTGGATAAAAAGGCTCATCACCTGCATAAACCTCTGTCATGTTTTTCAAAACCAGCGACGCAGGAATTAAACTCACGTCGCATGTGTTTATGTCTGAGAATGAATTGGCTGGAGAAATTTTAAATCTATTTTGACTTATTAAAGTATTTCATGTTGTGTGTTTTAATAATGCTAAGTGACATGGCAGTATATCTTCCGCAGTTCAAACACAGTGTTGGTCTAAGTCTTCTCGGTGAAGTTTTAATTTCAGTCAAGATTCTTAATTTTCACAGCAATACGTATGTGTTATGTGCATAATTAAGCTTCGAGGGGAAGCGCAGGGAGCTCTGGAAACTTTCGTGACAAACCTATCAGAGCTGCTGTAAATGCTACTAAGAATATTTTTGGTGTTGAAATTGCACCAGGCACAAGACAATGTGTTAGATTGGTTCCAGAGGTGGAATATGAACGTCAGATGTCAGGCTGCACATTCTGCTGACCTTAACAAGCTATGACTTGCTGAAAATGGAGTCGGGCAGAGGGTTTTGGGGAGGGTGATTATGAGTGGGGTTTCCCAGTCTCGGTGACAGGGGGAACCAGTAAAATTGAGAAAATGGAATGGAGTTCCAGCCCTGGAAAAGTCTGAAAGCCTCCAGAGAGACCTGACTTGAGACTCAGCAAGGCAGGCAAAACAAGCACCGACAGTTGGGGCTGGGGGGCAAGTAAGCCAATTATGATTTCCTGTATATTTTCCTTTCACAATATTGTGAACAGCGGAAGGAGTTAGCTAGCAGGGGAATAGTCCCAGACCTCATTACTCATCATCATGCTGAATCGCTCTAATTATATCTTAACAGACAAAGAATTAGTTGTTGTTATTTTGTTGCCTGTTTGTTTCAAACCTTTTGATTCAAATTTTTTGGTTTTACTTCACTGCTTAAAAAAGGAGTGATAGAAACATTTCTCTCTTAAACAGACATGTTGGATAAGACTTGCGCAAATTACATCCACAAAGTATTCAAATGGTAGTGAAAATAGGCACTGATGTCATGCTGTATTGACAATAGCATGAATGTGTATATCCAGCGACAGGCGCTGGCTGCAAGCGGCTTTGGGAAGTGGCTTGTCCTTTGAGTTTTGCTTGGTACAAATGAATCGGAAGCATTTTCTCATATTCATTCATGAACATCTAAGAATGCCTCACATTTCTGCAGCTGCCACCTGTAAAGAGGGATGCGGTGTTTTGGGGTTAGAGGGTGACATAACCCAACTGTTTCTGGACAGTGCGTCACACACTGTGTTTGAAAGCTTCTCTTTAAGGTCGTGCGTCCAGCTAAGAACCCAGAGACTCCAGAATCTGCCTCAGGGAGTCGCAAGCATTGGAAATAGCAACTGAATGGGGTTGGAGTTATGGGGGTGATTGTCCATCTTGTATAATGGCATGTAAAGTTTCAGGTAACTAACTCTATATGAGACCCTTCATAGGCTATACATGGACATTCATTAATAATTATGTAAATAACCAAAGACATACAGTCACTGATTCTGTATCAAAATGCTATAACTTTAGAATGACATTACATAAGCATTCATAAATAACATCCTCTATAGGGCCATTTACTTAAAGTGTTACTGTGTTATATAGACTTACCCATAATCCCCTTGTGGTCAATCACCATTCCCTCTACCAATCCACATTAATGTATGTAGTTTAAACCACTATTAAACCAACATGCAGCAAACTAGATATTTTTTTTTAAATCTGCATTCTTAAATCCTGGTTTAATCCTGGTTCTACTGGCAGATGGCTACTTGCTTCCAGGCTCAAAGCTTCTAAAACCTCAGTACACAAGAACAAGGGGAAGCAGGAGACACTGGGAATAACAAAAAAACAGTCAGGTAAAGGGTGGAAGCGACGTTCTAATGCCAGAGATGACCGTCGGCTTATCCGACAGTTTCTCTTGAATCGGAGGATGACATCAAGTGACCTTCTAAAGGAATGGGAAACATTAAGTGCAGGTGTGAAGTGCACTGCTAGGACAGTGTGCTTCAGGCTGCTAGAAGCAGGAATGAAGTCCCATAAAGCAGGGAAGAAGCTCTTCATTAATGAGAAGCAGGGAAGAGCCAAGCTACAGTGTAAAAAAATGTATATTTTACACAGACACGTCCATAAATTGAGAAATGAGTGAAACTAAAAAATTTGCTGTGGTCTCTCAATTTTTTCCATATCTGTGTATCTGCTGTACACATACCTTCTTCACACATCTGCAGTGGCAGCCCTTTGAAGACCCACTCTCTGGTTCCAGGACACTAGCTGCAGAGAAGCTCTACCTCAAACGTCCAGGCGATTAGTCAAAGGGGCTGGACGGGGAGCCGTGTGGAGGTGAGAACGTAGCCTTTGTTCTTTCAGTCATTACTCACAGCTCATGGCCGACAGGGATGTGGACTGAGCAGTAAACCAAAGGCCTCGGTCTAAAGGTGGCCGTATACTTCAAACACCCAGACAAAATTAAATCAAGCACGTCGGCCACAGCGATCTTTCACATACTTAAAATGGGGCCGTCGTCTCGTTTGTTCTGTGCCACGCCGCAACCTTAGAGGGCACAGAATGTTTTGATGCAGCAGACCCACATACAGAGCGCTAAGGAACGTATTGTGGAGAGTTCCGGAGTCGATTTTATAAAGGTGGTAACAGCTCATTGTTTGGTTTGATGCTAGCAGCGGCACAGACAGTGAAGCCAATATTTTAAATGACATTCGCAGTTAACAAAAAAATAAGCGTTCTATTACAAACATTACATGGTTACAACATTTACATTAACAGAAATACACGAATACACATATTAATGTACAATATTTAAAGTGCAGAGCGGTGCAAAGCATGTTGGTACCTGAATAATTAGTCCTGCTGACCAATCCTGTGGCATCACATTTATGTCAGCCAATCATGGGCAGTGGGTGGATCAGAACAAATGAAAAAGTTTGGCTTGAGGACCCAGCACAGACTGAGCGCCGGGATGACCGCTGTGATCACGCGTCATACGACGTCGTATTGCCCTAACAACATTGATTCCGTCGACTTCTCTGAAGTATACGGGCATCTTAAGCCACTTCCCCTCAGTGTCCACGAGACAGTAACCGCCAAATCAATCCACTCTGCATGTGAGGTTAAATGTAACTGAAACCCAGAATACAGCATGAAAGCCGTCAACACCGGAAACCCCAGAAAACAATATTTTATTGTTTAGAATCTCAGAAAAAAATTATAGACTACTTGTACAGAAAATGGACAATCACCTAAGAGAGAGGATAACAACAATTCTTACCTAGAGAAAACAGTGCGATTTAATTTACAAACATATTTTGCCCCACTCTGAATATATTCCGCCAGTGGATAACTAGGTCAGTTAATGGGGGTGTTTCTATTACCATAATGGAACTGTTTTTGCAATAATGAAGATACGGTATTTCAAATGGCTTATTAGGATTCTCAGGGAGAAATGGCTCATACAGCAGGCCTCCCTCACGCGAGTGAATTAGGATGCATAAAAGTGGCATTGAGTTCTCCCCTGTCAGCATGCTGATAGCACAACCCCACATCCAGGCAGTCTGTCAGCAGCACATTCATTGATTTCACTGAGGCCATCTTGTCCAAAGTACAAGATGTTAAAACAGTCATTGAGTCGCACTTAGAAGGTACTCAGGCCTGGATGGACTCATTTCTATGTACATCTTGGCTCAGAAGCGAAGGTCCCGGTGACCTTCTGAGACCAGCCCACACCTAGTGAGGACACACAAGGCACATCACTTAAATAAGGTCTCACCAGCTTAAAGCACAGAAGGCTTGAGTATCAACGGACAGTTACAGGGCACGTTCTGCGGACAGTTACAGGGCACGTTCTGCTGACAGTTACAGGGCACGTTCTGCTAACAGTTACAGGGCACATTCTGCTGACAGTTACAGGGCACATTCTGCTGACAGTTACAGGGCACGTTCTGCTGACAGTTACAGGACAGACGATAAGTGACAAAACACACTGCAGCTTCATATTGCTGTGTAACATTGCAGGTGATAAAATAATATGCTATAAATATTAGCGTGGAACTAAGGGCCACCCCCACCCATCGTCTAACCACTTATCCCCAGGATAATGGGAAGTGGGGGGGGAGGCCTGGAGCCCATCCCAGGCAGCATAATGCTGGGGTACCCCCCCTATGGTGGGTGGTACTCCGTCACAGGTCACATACACTCATATACCCATACACTGCAGACGATACAGAGACCCCAGTTAGTTTAACTGCATGTTATTAGCCTCAATACTGCTGCTTTGGCACTAACATTAAGGGTAAAACGATAAATATAGTTAAATCTGAAAAGAAAAGCACTCACCGCTTTCCAATGGGTTAGACTGTCTTATGTACTTACAATAATAATAATAATAATAATAATAATAATAAGCTGACAGACATGCCCAATACAACTTTCCATTTTACCCATTTATACAGCTGAACTTTTTCCTGGAGTAAACTGGGTTAAGTACATCGCTCAAGGGTACAACAGTCAGCCCCACCTGCAGTGTCCCGGTTACTAGGATGTGTCTGTGTCCTTGACCGCCGTGTGGCACCACAGCTGTGCCCGCCCTGCCCCACCACGTCTCCGTCACCACGCCTCCTCGCCCCCGCCACCGGAGCTGCGCGTGCTGGCCCTCTCGCGGCCCTGCAGCCGCAGCATCTCCACCACGCTGCGGGCATAAGCGTCGCGCAGGTTGAGTCCCGGCGCGCTCTCGGAGGCGGAGCTCCGCGCCAGCCTCTTCAGCGCCTCGCTGTGCCGCAGCGCCGCCTCCTTCATCTTCAGCGTGAAGTAGCAGGCCGAGAAGCGGTCATTGATGATGGCGATGGGCAGCGCCAGGATCAGGATGCCGGACAGGATGCAGAGGAACGCGATGACCTTGCCCAGCGTGGTGTCCGGCCGGATGTCCCCGTACCCCACCGTGGTCATGGAGGTGGTGGCCCACCACCAGGCGCAGGGCACGTTGGTGAAGGTGGTGCCGGGAGCGTCGTGCTCCACTGCGTACTCCACCGTGGCGAAGATGGAGATCCCCACAGACAGGAAGAGCATGAGCAGCCCGACCTCCTCGTAGCACTGGGCGATGGTCATACCCAAGGACTTCAGGCCTAAGGAGGAGCAGCAGGAACAGGTCACAGACACCAGATCACTGTCCTCAAAACACGCCGAATATTGTTTATGGCAGAAAGTGACACTTTTGTACATTTGTCAGATTCACTCAGCGCTGTGTGACATTGCTGCTTTGTGCCAGCAAAGCAGGTAAAGTCACTATTAAAAAACTGAAACCAGAGGCACATACAAGCATATATGTTTAGTGACAGGAGTCCAGTTGGTCGCTATTGGCCCTTCTTGTTCTGAACCACTATTTCCATACTGCAAACTGTTGTTCTTTCACCCACAGTGATTTTTGGGGGGACATTTAATTTCCTTCTTCCAATTCAGGGTGGTAGTGCCCTCCCCCGCTACTGCAATTAACTGAGGGCACGGTGACCAGTCATTTCGTCGTGGTGTCTTCTGAAGAATGTGTGAAAGTGATGAAATAAGCAGAGAAAAGAAGTTAAGCAGAAAGGCAAAGCCATTAACACAGAAATAAGCACATACACCAGGTCAGACAGCTCTGGCAACTAGTTTTATAAAAGATAACGTTACCAAAACATGTTAAAAGGAAAAAAAAACAATGTTGCCAAATGAAATGCTTCCATCCGTCCATCTGTCCATCCATCCATCCATCCATCTTAAACTAAAAAACCCAAACAGCATCATTTCAGAATGTCAGTCCCTGGCTGGGTCTGCAGTATCCATTTTGCTTAATTATTTAAAAGATTTTGCCCCAGACTCCCATAAACACATTTTTGCTCCAAAACTTTGAAGATTAAAGCCAGTGACAGAGGACAGAGACACTTTTTTTATGTGGACCAGCTCACTTAGAGATCCACATGGGAAATGCTGATACTAACACGCTCCAATAAGAGAAGCCAGGAAGGGGCCTCCTGTGACAGGTCTGGGTCTGAGGTTTGGGGGTGTATCATCAATGGAGTTTGTTATATTGACACAGCCCCCTTCACGCAGACTTCTGTCCTCCTGAGATCCAGCAGTTCATTTTTCTCCTCTGTAGAGGACGTTGTGTTTTTGCTCGTATCTCCAATACTATTCGTTCCACTCTGTTAAGCCCTGTTGTTCCTTACAGAGAACAGTTAGGACTCTAAGATGGCATCACACATGGGGTGTGACCTTGCCAACATTTTTAATCAATGATTAAAATTTTAATCAATATTAAGAGAAAATAAAAACCTTTTTTTGCCTAGATTTCAGGAGGTACACTGAATTATGGTGTTAGTGCACCTTTATACACTTATACATGTATTTAAATAATTTACTGTAATGATCATAGATGTTCTGTTATTCAACGTACTTTTTTATTATGGGAGAGTACGGTACCTGTCATCTTTTAATTAATGAAACTGATAAGACTTATTGGTCCCTGGTTCTGTGTTTAAGTGATGACCTAGAGGGATTCGAATTTAGGGCATTTTACAGCCGTTTGTCCTGCATTTGGCCACCTGGCAATAGCCTCTTTCCCAGAATGACTCTCCCATGTTTAGCTGGTGTTACCTGTGGAATGTCGGCCCAGTTTGAGCATCCGGAATGACCTCATCAGTCGCAGGACCTGCACCACGCGGCCCACGTTCTCCAGCTCGGTGGAGCCGCCGTGCAGGTTCTCCACCGCCAGCGTCACGTAGAAGGGCAGGATGGCCAGCAGGTCGATGATGTTGATGACGCTCCGACTAAATCGGCATTTGTCCCTCACGCAGGCAAAGCGCAGCGCCAGCTCCCCAGTGAACCACACGATGCAGATGTACTCCAGCGTGTCCAACAGAGGGGGCGCCACGATGCCGACCTCCAGGGAGACCAGCGCCATGTTGCCAATGGACACCACCACGAAGAAGATGGACAGCATCCCAAACGTCTTGGCTGCCGCTGAGGAATCTGGCTTCTCCATGATGTTCCACAGCCTCTGTCTGAGGCCTTCACACACCACCCCAGAGAAGTCCTCCTCCTTGCTCTCCATCACCTCAGCGTCCCGGCTGACGTCCAGCGTCTCCTTCATCTCCTTCCTGCGATAGTACTTTTCCCGGCAGCAAGAATCAATGCTGAGCTCATCTATGCCCCAGTACTCGATCTCCTGCAGGAAGGACATAGCGCACAACTCCTCCATCACGTGCAGCCGGCCCGTCTTGTAATAGTTCATGATGTACTGGAAAGTCTGCGAGTTCCTGTCGAAGAAGAACTCGTTCTCCAGGAAGTCGGCGTCATCGCACAGGTCCAGGGCGGAGTCGCGTGTGGACCGGGCCAGCTTGCCGAGCCGGGTCTCCGGGAACAAGGAGAGCAGCTCCTGGGACAGGATGTAGCGGCTGCCGCCCACGTTGATGACGAAGACATCCAGAGGGTCGTCACCTGCTTGTGGAGGCACCTCGCTGAAGAAGACACTGGACTCCAGGGACAGCAAGGAGTTGTGGTCGCCAAAGAACTCAACGGGCGTTGAGGCGCAATTGGCCATGTTGGACCTGGGGGGGGGGGGGGGGTGATCAGTGATCAATAAGAGGGCAGTTACAGCGTTCAGTATGATTTCGTCTCATAGAGGTGCTCAGCCTGTGAGATGCAACAACAAGTTTTGTTAATCTATTTTTATTTCCAGACACCTATAAAATATTTTTGTGTGCAAAATATGTTACATGTTGTTTTCCTTATTATACGCAAGGCTAACAGTTATATTAAATATACCTTTAATAATAAGATTTGGAAACATGTTAATATGAAGCAGCTACTTAAAATTTAACTAAAAATTATTATATAATTAATAAGAAGCACTCCGAAAATATTTCTGCGAATTACTGGATAAATGCGGGATCATTCCATGTATATGTGCATGATGAAGTTTCTGCTGTAGGGAATCGGTAATAATTCCTTTCTGTCTCGTAACAGAATCCCTGCCAACAGGAAGAATACCCGACTGAATGAATTGGCGATTTCCCAGCTTTTTGTAAATCGCTCATCAAACATCGAGCACAGAAGGGGAAACGCAGGATTGTAGACATGTTCCAGTTCTTCAAAACTCTTGTCAAGATTTAAATATTTTAGCTCTACTTGATTAATAGAACAAATGGTACTATTCTTGTGATCATTAATTCCCTTTGGAAAGTTTCACTATATGACGTTGTCATGGTGGTAATTTCAGGACCTGCATATTTAATAAGATCAGTTGGTGCAGGATAAAGCCGGTACCAGTGGAGGCAGAATGAAACGGGAAAGTTGAGATGAGGTCATGTGGTTTAGTGCCTGCACCTTTGATCCAGGTGCATCATGAATTTCACTCAGTAGCAAATTCAATGCACAGTAAAGCTCTTTGCCTTTGTCTTTTATCCCCCTCTGCTAGTTTCAATCACTGTTTTTAAAAGTGACCACTGACCTGCTTCAATTCATAAATTCCAGTCTAAGAACAAAGACCTTGAGAATAACAGTGGCGTCACACATACAACATGCAAGGAAAATAATGAATAAGGTCTGTAAGCACTACACCATCTACTGCCCAATATGATCAGACTGTTTAACTCATTCTATTCAACCAATTACAATTTCAAATAATTCCAAAGTTACAATATGTGCTTTTTAATCACACATTTTTATATCATTGTATGTATCTCTTATAAGGCCGTGTTTGCTTGATCTACGCAGGAGAACAACATGCTCAAAACAGAAATAGTGCAAAGTCAAATTAATGAAACTGTGGTTAGTCCAGAAGTGCTTAGCATAATCTATTCAAACAGGTTAATTTAAAATAAGTGTACTAAAGTTAGTGGAAATGGAACATAACAATAGTCTTTAGCGTCATATATACCATACACAGACACAGACACACACACAGAGACACACACACACACACAGACACATACACACACACAGACACCCAGGTCTGTAATTATCTTTGTGGGGACTCTCCATTCATTTCTATGAGGAAAATTCTAATCCCAACATGACGACCTTAACCCCTACCCAGCCCTAACCTTAACCATGAGTAACCAAACAAAATACAAGACTTCTGGCAATTTTAGTTTTTTGCTTGCATTCATAGATCTTTGTGGGGACCATTTTTCAGGTTAACATAACGGGTTTTTATCACATTGTGAGGTACAATGTAATATAAACCTAATCCACAAACATACTCTCACAAACAGGGTTGTAATTATATCTTTGTGGGGACTCTCCATTCATTACTATAGGAGGAAAACTCTAATCCTAACATGACGACTTTAATGATTATTAACCAAACAAAATATGAGACTATTGCTATTTTTTACTTTTTTGATTGCATTCATACATTGTGACACCTGAAAAATGACATAAACATAAAAACATAAAAATAAGGTTTCTATTACATTGTGGGGGACGTTTGCTCCTCGCAATTAATATAAACATAATTCACACACACACACACAATAAATAATCCTGGAATAATAATAATAATTTGTCTTTAAACTGTAATATCCCTGATAATGTCCTGGTTGCTAATCTTAAATCTTTGGTTATTTTACCAACATAACACATTAAAATATACTACAATATATTAAAAATATTTAGACAAGGATTCTTTATTTATAGTGAAACCGTTTTTGAGTCATTATATAAATCTTCCATCCATTTCCTATACCCACCTATAACCACTAGCAGTCAAATACATCCGTACCTCTATCTCTAAATTTATATATAAATAGCATTAATTTCCTTAATTACAAAAAGGTAGATCTATAAAATTAAAGTTTTTGGGCAACCTAATGTCTAAGCTGCCAAATAAGAAGTGTGTCTAGAATACACCAATTTACAAAGAAAAGTTACCTTTAACTTTTATTTCGTTGAGATTTAAACCAGGATTCGGGAATGTCCATCTTCTGGCTCAATCGGATGCCGTCCGATAGTCAGAAGCAAACATTTAGGCTGGATTATAATAACATGCAGCTGCAGAATCCGACTCCCCAAGTAGGTTAGTATAAAGGAGACTCCCCACTGTCGCGCGCACTTCCGCTCACTGCTGCTCGCTCAGGTGCTTGCACTGGTGTTTTAAAAAATGTTTAAGCCAATCAGAGAAAAGCTCCCGCTGCTAGGCAACGAGCTCCGCCGCCGGTCCGGTTTCTCCGAATTGGATGAGGGCACCTTGCTTGTTTTCTGTTACTTTCCAATTAGATTAATTATCCATATTGTACTTTGTCATGCTTAACTATATCACGTATTTTTCGGCAGATGCCCCAGATTAAACTTATTGAACAAAGACGAGCCCAGTCTTCCAATAACTATATAAGAGCAAGGAGACGCTTACCAGGGTACAAGTTGGATGGAAACTACTGAAATTTAATTCAGATATGAAATATAGCCAATGCAGCTACATAGCATTGAATAATTGCTGACGAGTACTAAGGCAATGTCAGTAACGCGTGATCTTAGCTAGAAAACTAATGTCCATTGGGTTTCATTAAGAGAAGGCTTTTCCAGGCGATCATTTTCCAAATGATAGTCGAAGCTGTAGGCTACTGGGGCAACTTCAAATGTCCCAGTCTACCCATGTGGACCTTTCTTGATTGCCAAATAGGCATACGTGCAGCTAGTCTCATCTTCTGATGACCATCTTCTGATGAATGCCTCTGTTACAGGTGTAAGCAGCACTGAAGAAAAAGCTACACAGCATCCCTGAAATGTGGAGTGACAGACACTCAGCCATCACTTTATCAAGTATCCCTGCTTATGAGCTTAAACAGGCTGATTCTACGGAGAGAATCGTGTGACTTTGACTCAAGAAATACAGCCAGACGCGGACAGAGTGAAGGGTTCAGTCACTGTTTGACAATATGTGGGCAATATGTGTGAATTACGTGATTCTGAACATCTTATGATTATTGGTGCCAGACGTGGCTGTTCCAGAGTCTCAGAAACAGCCACCCGTGAGGGATTTTCACACAACACAGTGCCAAGAGCAGCAGATGGTGTGATAAACAAAGAAGATCCAGTCCAGCTGAGATGTACAGTCTAATGGTGAAAACACCTTATATATGTAAATGGTCGGAGGGGAATGGCCAGATTACTGAAAACTTGCAAAAGATTTCCAGCACCTAGTTCATTCTGTACCTTAAAATATCCAGGCTGGTCTGTGGGCAAAGAGGATCTTTTCAGATACTAGACTGATGTAGGCAGGAAAGGGACCACTGAGTGTGTATATGTACCTCATAGCTAGTGAACAGTAGTTTCATGTTTTACAAAACATTTCTAAAACTTGCTATTCTGTAGATCTGGGAAACGCATAAATGGGAATAAATTAGAGATACAAGACACTAAAAATAGCTCTCAGTATTCATGTGAATTCAGGTCAGTCATAGGAGGAGGAAAATTCTGGATAGTAGTTCCTTGTGACAGCAGGGATTTAATTTATCTTGGTCTAGCTCACCATGCCAATTCTTTATAGCCCTTCACTCTCCAGTTCAGTTCACTAGCCAGTTGACTTGTGACAGATAAGTGTTCACTTATTATGGAGAATGATGGCATGGACCTGAGTGACCTCACAGATGGCAGTGACCTCACAGATAAGGAAACACTACTGTCTCGTTTTCACTATTACATGAAATGAAAAAAAAAACACCTACAAGTATACATTTTTTTCTGTTTTAAATTTCCCGACATTTTGAGACACACAGGCTACTTTATTCCTCTCTGTTTAAACTCAATCTATCCACTTAACTAAAACACAAAGTTTAAAATGCATTTCGTGGGGTGCACTGCAGTTTTAAGCACTGCAAAGTTCGAATTGCTATTGTTTCTTCTTATGATTCATGTTTCTTGATATTTGTAATACATTTAATGCCATAGAATCTGAGTTTCTGACAGAGAAACCTTGTTCTATGCAGGTGGACATACCCACTCTGTCCTGATCGGACTTCCTGACTGGCAGACCACAGTGTTGTGGCTCCAGGGCTCAGTCATGCTTGTCACCATGAGCAGCACAGAGGCCCCTCAAATCACCTGTTTACCCTGTAAACCTCTGAATTTCGGTACAATGCCCAGCAGAAGTGTGGGGAAGGACTTTGTTGAGTTGTGCAAACTCTTTGCTGTAGTATGCTGGGCCAATACGATCACTAGAGATGAGGTCAACAGACTTAAAGTCATCTGGAAGGTTGCTTCTATTGTGGGAGTCAATTTGGTCTTTTTTGGAAGCTGTTGTACAGGAAAGGACACCAAACAGAGCACTTAGCATTTTGGATAATGTGTTTGAACCCATGCCAAGCTAAGATGTGCCTTTAATAATACTCTTTCAAAAGCACTGCCCCCAAAACTGTCACCTGAATCCTTTTCTGTCATGGCCATAACATTTTACAATGAGTTTTTCTCTAGACCTCTTACTGCCGTATCTGGAGCAAACTGTGAATAACTATCCATATGCACATTCTTATCTGTTTTATTTATATCTTTTCTCATGTCTCTGTATTGTGCGGCGTTGGCTTTTTACTGATTAAATGAAGTTTCTGTCCATCTGGCGCGTTTGTCAACTTTAAGCTCAAACGAACATCGTGTTCAATTGAAAGCCGCATAGCGCCACCTGCTGCTTAGAATTCACAAGATTAAAATAATGCATTGTTTTCCACAGACCCTGATGCCCTATAACAAAATGATACGTTTATAGGTTCGATCGCTAGTTATAGCCAGTCAGAAATGCGGTCATAAGGCTTCGGTGGTTTTATGGAATGTGGTTTCCGAATATTTAATATAATTAATAAAGCAACGTTATTACTCGGAACTGTTTCTACAGTGACACTTCAGTTCCTCCCGACTGATACTCTGCAAGTTCATTGTGCTGACTATGCTTGTCCCGTGTTCCCTTGGGGGAGGCTCAATCCTCAAATTGTTTTTAATTACAGAGAGAAATGCTGAATTGATTAATGCTCGTGTGAAGATTCATAGTGTAAACTGAACGCGTATTCACCTCTCCCGTAGGGCTAAGATGAGATTTGGAAGGCATAGCACCTCTGCCTGCAAGGGTATGCTACAAAATTGAAGATGTGACTTTGCGCGTGAATGATAAAAGTACTGGTATCCCTGTTATGAGCGCACCTCAGAACAAACACATCTGGATAAAGCTAGCCTATCCTCCTCCTAGTCCTACAGGTCCTGCTACCAGATTGTTTGCATCTTCGAAAAGCATATCGACACCTACGCTTAACCTTATAAACGCGTCTTCAGTTGTCTGTTAAAAAATAGCAGCAGAAAAAATACTTATACACGTAGGAAAATACATACTAATACATACTTAACGTACATAACAGAACATAACAGACCATGATCTTAACAAAACCACCTGCCAATGTGCTTTCGGAAAGCGGTCGACCAATAAAATCGCGGCACACGCCCCCTTGGCAGAGGTTCCGTGGATGCGATTGGTCGCCTCTCCGCCTTCTCGCGGCGCTGCTCGTCACCCCTCACGAATGGGGCGACGACTCACCGCCCATTTTCCGAACCGCCATTTTGAAACTGTCTGAGTTCAGCGGGCTGCTGTCTGCGTGGATGGTAAGACGCGCGTTGTTTTTTTCCGCTCTTTTCAGCATTTCTCTGATGTTCACACGAAACGAACAGATTACCCATTAGAGATATCTAATCCACTTTCCGGTGGTTATTGAAACAGTCATTTATAGCCCAGGGCAGCTACCAGGCAAGCCCGAGCGGGATGACTTAATGCTTTGTAAACACTGTTTGTGGGCGGGACGTTGTAGCATGACGGCTAGCCCTTTTGAGTGCAGTTTGAAAATAAGATAACGAGCTTCGTGCGAGGTAGCTCTGCACGCTTAACTTTTAGAAAGTCAAGCCCCGTGCTTACATTTCCACGGACATCTTTCGGTAGGTTGTTTTATGCTTAATTTAGTTTGCAAATAGGAGTAAATGAAATACCCACCGTAATAGTGTTAGCATGTGACGCGGGGCAAAAACCGCGCGCGTAACAGGAATATTCTGATGATTTTTTTTTAAAAAAGGAGTTTGTCATTCTCACTCCTTGCATATCTACGCGTGTGAGCATTTATGTTTTGATAGCCGTCGCACAATTGTGTGCGTTTGACGTTTCATTTAGTTACTCTCAGTACGGTTTTCATTACTATAGTGCATTTTGAAATTGAAGCGTGAAAACTCATTAAGTGAAAGATGACGGGAATGTTCCGTGATCGGTTTAAACGTCCGGTAATGAGCCGTAACCTGGAGCGGCCACCCCGCTGACCCCAAGCCACTCCCTCCACATCCCACTCCTCTGCCCACAGACCGGCTAGCAGTCATGTCGGGGGAACTCGCTGAGGAAGCAGGGGTGCTGCAGGGGGCAGCTGACAACTTGGAAGAAGACAGTGGTGGAAAGGAGCAGAGCCCTGGGGGCCAGGAGCTGCAGCGTAAATCTGATCTCCTTATCAGCTTCTCATTTTATCTCATCCAGCCTTTCTGGCCAAGTGTCACAAATTAGTTTCCTTTTACATTTCAGGTAAGCCACAGTTTTGACTCTCTTGTTTTAACAGAAATGGCCGAAATAATTGAAAGGAAAAGGGAGAAAAAGTCAGTCCAAAGACTGGATCTGCAGATTGGCAAGCCAGCAGAACCACTGAAGATAGAGGAAGGTAAGGAGTCTTTGTGATGTCCCAAGAAACTTTTTGGTGTCACAATACACCTATAATTAATATTTTAGGTTTACTACTAATCTGCTTACCGAATTGTGGGCATAAGTAAACGTCCGTATAGTTCTGAAAAGCTGGTGTCCGGACTAATGTTTACGCCCAATATCTAAACCCCTGATGATTATTGCGCATGTGTACATATCGTGATTATAACGCAGTGTGATATTTCTCAGCCCTATTTAAATACTGTGGTCAGTAGAGTAGCCCTGTCAGCACTGTGCCCTTGAGTAAAGCCCCCACCCTAAATTCCCTAATACTGAGTACTGGCTGACTTGCTCTCTGATCCCAGGCTTTCCTCTTTCTCCGTTGCATTGGGCAAACACACCCACTAAATACATAAATGTAATTCCTGTAGGAAGAGGCATGAAGCTGGGATACATTGAACACGTGGCTTACTATATCGGAAGGACAAAGGCCGACGAACTGAAACCTCTTCACAAGATTTTATTTAATCGACCAGGAGCTGTAAGTAAGCTCTGTTTGTTTATTTGTGTGTGTGATTTTTTTTTTGTGAAATGCAGTAGTTAAAGATTCAATAAGTTAGGCTTAAACTAGTCCTTACCAAGGTAACCTTTGGGGCAGTGGGTGGGATTGTGCCTGACAAATGTGGGTTAGACAGTGTGGGTTTTCAGCAGGAGAGCTATTTAATTACTATAAATATGTAATGTTAGAGAGTAAAGTTGGCATCTACTAAATTTCCCACCTGTGGCACTAATAAAGGTTTGGCTTATCTTATCTTATCTTATCTTCAGGTACTTGGTACTTTAACACTGTCATGCTCATGGTCTCCACTGCACAGGTGGCCTCCCTGAAGAAAAACATCCGACAGTTCAGTGGCTTTTCATTTGAAGCGTCCAGTGACCCTTATAACAAAAAGCGAGATGTAATAAAGAGGTATTGTTTCCGAATCACACCTGGCATCATGCAAATTGAACCTGTGTGGGCAAATATTACTGCTCTAAGTGGACTGGGCTCCTCCTCCTCATTATTACACGACAGACCAAAACAATCTGAACCTGATACTCATGGCATAATTGAGTAATAAGTGTTTTTAGGCAATCAAACTGAAACACAGCCGGTGTTGTGAAGTGATTTCTCTTCTGTTAAGCTAATACACACTGACTTCAGCGTGGCGCAGCTGACCGTCTCCCTCTGCCCCGCATTCAGGCTTACGCTGGCCGGCCTGAAGAACATCTGTACCATTCTAGACCTGGAGACCAGTGGCACTCATGATGTTGTAGTTGACAGAATTTTGACATTTCTCCTAAACCCAAAGACGAGGGAGCGGGTAAGCCAACGAGCCACTAGTACGGGGCTTGCCAGTGCTTTTGGGGAAATCTGTGTGTTTAAATGATTCTCAGAATGATCATTATTCACGTTGTCGTTAAAGAAAAAAAGTGGGCGAAGTTTAAGTTTTGTGGAGAATTATAGCTGCCGCTTGTGCCGCTTGCTATGGACAGCCCTTACCAAAGAAGAGGAAGAGAGGCAGCAGTAGCAAGTCCAAGGCCATCATTATCGATTCCAGCAGTGATGATGACGTCGGCCACGGTGACAAAGGCTGGGCTTCGGCACCCAAGAGTCGGGAGATGATTGATGATGATGACGACAGTTCTTCCAATGAAAATGATGAAGTCAAGGCCCTTGTCGATAGTGACCAAAAGGGGGGTGAAGATAATGCAACAGAAAAGGTCAGTCAGGTCATCTTGACCCTGGTAAATGTTTTCTCGTACATGTGCCGTGCAGCAGCTGTGACAAGTGCACAGGGTAAATGCGCTTGATGCATTTTGGAACATGTCCTGCTCTATCTGCAAATGGTAGTATCTGCTCTGAGTTCCCGAGGAGCACTGGTAAAAAATAATTTAAAAGCGATGAATGAAAATTGGAAAATGTAAACGAAGAGCCTCATCTATGGCACAGAGTCTGGGTGGTGTCTGTTGCCATTGTTTACATCTTTGGCTGGGTCTTTGTTCCTGATTCTGGAGGATGATTGTGTCTGGCTGCCTTATTCTGTCTGAGCAAACTCATTAGCTGGTAAAGCTGTACAACACTTGAGGATCAGGGGTGTCTGTGTTCATGTGCCAAATGATAATGGCAATTTCAGGCCCTTTTTTTAATAACTAGATCAATGAAATATCTGTGTGCCTGTATACCGCTATGCCGTTAGATAAGAGCAAACTGTCATACATAAGTTAGAAATGGAAGGCTCCCTGTTAAAGTTCAAGCCTATCGTTCTTCCTCCCCTGGTGACTCTGACATTGCCGCCCAAGATGGATCCCACACGCAAGGCATCCACTAAACAGAAAGCGCCAGGAACTAAGAAGACCTTGGGGAAAAAGCTGTCTGCCGTGAAGAAAAGGCCTGGGGGCCGCAAGACCCCCGGGGCGAAGAAGAAGATGGAGAGCATCAAAGCCGTGACCCTAAAGCAAAAGTCAAAGGCCAAGATCACAAAGGCGGCCGAGGAGGAGAAATCGGCCACGTCGGACCTGTCTGACAACGACAGCGAGCAGGACGAGGTGCGTTTCTGTGGTCCGTGCGGGTCTGGCTACGATCCGAGACGACATTAATTGTGCCGCATTTTCAGACACCGAAAAGCGCCAAGAAGAGGCCGGCCCCCACCACGGCGAAGCCGGCAGCCAAGACGAAGAAGGCGGACAGCAGCAGCAGCAGCAGCAAGATGACCGGCAGCAAAAGCAAAGGTGCAGCCACATTATTCACTAGTCTGCTTACCTGCCATGGTCTGGTAACACTCTTGGTGCATCATTTGGTACAACCATTCTGGGAGAGTGAATCACAATAAAATGCACTGTTAAGTCTAATTAATGACATATTAGTGCTGGTAACTGAGGAGCAGGCATTGCCGTGTCGTGCTGTGACCTCCTCCTCCTCCTGCACGCCGCGTGGCTCCTCTGCAGGGTCGGACATGGAGGAGGACAGCTCAGATAACGAGCCTCTCATCAAGCTGCTGAAGAAGCCGCCGACAGACGAGCAGCTGAGGGAGACCATCAGCAGGCTGCTGAAGGACGCCAACCTGGAGGAGGTCACCATGAAGCACATGTACAAGAAGGTGCGTGTCCCCCCCCCCCCCCCACCCACAGCCCCCTCTCAATAGGCACAATCAGACCCTACTCTCTGCCATTGGCTCTTCTGGGATGATGTATTGCAAGTTGTTTTCAGGTGTTTGAATCCTACCCCGAGTCTGACCTGACTGGCAGAAAGGCTTTCATCAAGCAGACTGTGAAAAAGGTGAGATCACACCAGACCTTTGTGAATGTGGAGCTGCTTTTGTCTCTTAGTAATGGAACACTGAGTGAAATGGCAGAGTGGCTGAGTGTGCAGTGAATGGCAGTCGCACAGGGTGTCAGTGTGCTGGTGCCTTCATGGCGTCCTGGGCTGGATAAATCGGCGTCTTCCTCTCTAGTAGACCTGTGGTGCTCATTGCAGACCTATGGCTTTAAATCAACATGACGAGCACAAGGAGGCCAGAAGGATGAAGTCATCTTCACCGGAATGTGGAGGAATGAGTCGGTGTCATTGCATAGTAAATGTAAATAATGTGATGTTTTAATTTCCTTAAATAGTGATAATTTGGGAAAACTATGTGCTGGTTTGTTTTATAAGTCACAACGGGGCTTTGTGTGTCTTTATTAAGACTGACCCTGGAAAGTCAATAGAAGGAGATTAATATGATGAAATACAACTTTATATATAGACACTTGGAATAACAGCACTGCTGATATTCTGTGCAGGGAGTGTCCCTGAATTGTACTTCCTAGATAAGTGGGTGGACAGGTGGATTTATTTGTTTTCAGTTTTTATACAATTGTGTTCCCCTGTCTCTGAGCCGACAGTGGTTTCATAATGGGACAGATTGTAAGTTTGAGGGGGGGTTGCTGAAGGGTCACTGTTCAGACAGCATCAGTGACTCTCATTGCCTGTGTTGGTTTAGACGAACACTTGGGTTGTGCGTGCAGAACATGACGCATGAAGTATGCTGCTGGAATCGCAGTTTGTTTACCTCACTACTGACAGTAGTCCCCAAATCTCATCATCTCTCCAGTTAGCCATGTTAGGGTCTTCTGCCTGCACGTGACGCTTCTCCTGTGCTCTCGGATGTTTGTATTCTTCCTTCATCAACATGCCTACATGTTGGCAGTGAATGATATGGAATTCTTCCTGCTTCATTCATACATGTGGATCGGTCGCAAATTGCTTGGACTTTGTAGTAGGGACTGATGTCTCCGGTATGACTGATTGAGATATTTGCATTGACACATACAGCCTTTCCCGGAAATGTCTAGAAAGACTCAGGGTGGCAGTGCATGTCTGAGAGGGGCTTCAGTTGTGCAGATGTTTACTGGCTTTCTGTGTAGAGCAGTAGTTAACTGATGCATTTTGTTTTACAGTTTATCTCCTGAAGAAGCCTGATACCCATCTACACACTGGGAGTGGTTACAGCACATTTTCTTATTTGCATATTAGGAGTGAAAGACAGTATACTTTGTTACTTGAGATTTTAAAGTTTTCTTCTCGTCTTAAGTGCTTGTATATTTTTTTTTTTTCTTCATGAATACAAACTTTTTAAAAAAATATTTCTTTGTGTATTATAATTCAGAAAGGCCTTTTACGCATTTTATTCTTTGCTTAAAAGAATTGTACAATGAAGTCAGTTTAGCTGTGAATAGATTGGTGGCTTCCTAAGGTTAAACTCCACTTTTGAGTTGTTTTTGTTTTGCATTTTATTTTATTTTACCTGTAAATTCTTTACTATGGTGATGTTGTAATTATGGCTTTTCCTTCTGTGATATCCCATCAAATATTGCTTTGCCTGTGTAAATTCTTAAACAAGTACCTTGTTCATTTCTCTATCAAAGAGCTCATTTTGTATTTATGATGTTTTTATTTTTTAACTTCTTGTATTTGTTTAAATGTACCCAGGCATTTGTCTGCTGTATAAGAACATTTTATTGACAGACAGAATTATGCTTTGAAACCCACAGTGAGGTTCAGTTCAGTTTTATCTGTATAGCACATTCTCACATCATTACATTCTCTCAAAGCACTTCACATTATCCCTGTCCAGAGACAACGGTGGCAAGGAAAAACTCCCTAGAGGGAAGAAACCTTGGGAGGAACCGGACTCAAAAGGGGGGGGCATCCTCGAGGGCCTGGACAGAGGATGTCGAATGAAGATGAATTGCTAGTGTCTGAGTAGTTTAACTTGTCTTATGATGTTTTGCCGGGCAGTGATTGGCAGCTGAATAACTCCGCCCACTACGGGTTTTGATGCATCATTTCACCCAGAAGCATTTAGCTAAAGACTAATTTGGTCTTTGTGGCATCTCTTGTCTTCCCACTTATGACTAAATTTCAACAATCAAAATTTAAAAATCCATCTGTATTTTATGCATAAAATTTGGATTTTTCATTATCTTGGTTGCAGTATTTGTTGCGATTTGTATAGTCTAGTCAAATTGTAAAGCCTTTAAGGTGAGGTTTACCTCGCCCTGCTGTCAGTCAGTCTGTCCGTGGTTTTTCTGGCTCTGATACATACCTAAATATTTAATGCCCTAAAGCTAATCTTTAGTTTGACTTATGTTTTTGATATTTTAATTCATCTTCTGTTGTGAAACTTGCTTTTAATTAAACCCTTTTTTATTGAGTCTTTTTTTTTTCTTCAATTATTAAGTGTCGAAGTGTGTAACATATGAACATGCTTTGTTCACTTCAGATACTGATGCACATTTTACAGTTATGGTGTGGGATGTGGTCTCCATAGGGGAAGACCATAGACTGTGCATTACTTGGTGAGGTCCCATTGGTTCTGCAAGGCTGCCACTAACGGTGCAGAATGGATTGTCAGGCGTGGTGAGATACAGCTGTATGAGATACATACAGGGTATGACATCATGATGTGGGAAGCCATAGGGTATGACATCATGATGTGGGAAGCCATAGGGTATGACATCATAGTGTGGGGAGCCATAGGGTGTGACTTCAGGTCATCTCTGGTAGTGATTCGGGGGACCCTGACGGCACAGTGCTACGTCAGTGACATCCTGTGTCTGCGTGTCTTACCCCTCCTGAGACGACACCCTGGTGTCTTTCAACAAGACAACGCCCATCCACATATGGCACGTCTGTCTATGGACTTCCTGCGTCTTGTTGAGGTCCTCCTGTGGCCAGCCAGGTCTCCCCATCTTTCCCCAATCAAACATGATCAGGGATCAGCTTAGACGCCAACTCAGACCCAGTGCCGATATGCAGGATCTCAAAGGCCAGTGACAGCTGTGGGCCGACTTGCCGCAGGAGAGGATTCAACAGCCATACGACTCCCTTCTGCACCGTATCGACGCATGTATCCAGGCCCGGGGGGGGCATACCCTGCTGACATGGGACCAGCAGTGTGTCCATACTACAACTCTGTTGTCCATTTGATCTGATATTATAATCATTGCGATACAGTCACATGACCTTTCACCACGTGCAGATTCATTTCATTTCCACCACTCCGTCTGGGTGCTTAACTTTTTTTTGTCACTGTGTGTTTTTATTGTTGGTAGTCTGGATAGTGGCTCATGTACACACTACTAAAACACAATACAATAATACTGCAAATTTTAAATCTAATTGTATTACTATATGTAATTATAGTAATTCAATTATAATTTGGCAAAAATTACACATAGATAGCTTTGAATAGCGTTCAGGCCCCCGATATCATGGCCATCTTAAACGAAAGATGGATGGACACAAGGACAGATTTGGCTAAAAGCCGGTTCGTTCGTGCGCATGGTAATGGTCGGAGGCGTGGTTACAAGCTGTTTACAGTCCCTTTAGCTGGCCTGGGATCAGCGTCTCCCTTCCAGTCAAAACCTGGACCATTATGAACTGAACGATCGAACAGGTCCCAGGTCAGCATCTTAAAGTAGTCATTGCAATAAGCACGTATGGTCTCGTTTTTAGGACCTTCGGACGCAGGCAAGACAAACTTCTAGTTACGTAACTTTACCGAATCACACTTTCTGAAAGAGAAGAAATTACCTATATAAAAGTAAAATATTACCCGTCTATTGACATGTTATTTCCTTTGCTGTCGTTTGTTCATTCGTCTGCCTTATGTGTAGCTTCTGAATTAATAAAGTGACCTTAGTTATTGCTTTGTTACCGTAACGCTGCAGTCGCGCCGATGCTTGTAACACCAGCAAAGCATCACGTGTGTCAGAAACGCCCGCCTTTGAAAGTGCGCTTTATAGCGGCCTTCGGCGTTAATTTGTCATCCCGTTTATTTTATCAGCATTAGCGCGGTATTCAGCTTGTCATGGGTCCTCTCTCTCTCATAGGGGGTCGATCTTTTCTCCGCCAGATGCTGCCAGGCCTGCCGATGCTTAGTCGGGATTACTCCCTTAGCATTTCCGCGGATTTGCTGCGGACGCGGGCGTTTATCGATGGCCGCTGGGTGTCCGCCGCTTCCTCCTTCCCAGTTGTGGACCCGGCGACGGGCAGGGAGATCGCCAGCGTGTCCAACTGCGGACCCCGGGAGGCCGAAGCCGCTGTCCGTGCAGCATACGCGGCTTTCCAGGAGTGGAAGCGGCGCTCAGCGAAGGTGATTTCCCCATGGGGATGTGTGGATATCTGCAAAATGCTTTATGCGATTTTATTTTTAGTTTGCACATTGCAAAATGTTGCAAAAATACGCTGCACAAATGTTATAATGCTTGATTTTAGCTCTCTGGTGAGCTTCGAGTCTGCCGAAGAAGGGACCCGCGCCGAGGGTAAAGCGAAAGCATACTCGTCTCGGCATGCGATCGATTTGTCAGCTATTATACATCGTACAATGTATCAGCTACAGTTTCTATTATAATTAAAAACGCTAAAATACCCTTGTATAACAATATTAATACTATTCCGAATAGTAACAAACACCGTGCGTGTGCGTCTGTTTGACACGTTAAGCGGATCGCTCCCACAATCGTGTTTTTAACGACTAGTATGCTGTTTGACAAGCTGCTCAGTCGCTCAGGGATAGGTTTTTTTTAGGTGGCTAAATATTTACGTCCAGCGAAGAGGTTTAGATGTATGAATGATGTTCTTCGCAAACAAATAATTCGCAGAGTCTGGTTCACAGTCAGCAGTCCGTAGGACCGGAACACAGTAATTAATAGTAATTAATAGCGTTCACTTTAGGCTATCTTCCTGGAAATAAGACTTATAAATGTAGAAGGATATCAAATTAATTTGCTTAGTTGGTAGATGCTATGTCTACATCATAGTCTAATAATTTAACCTGACCTGTTTTTTTTTTTGTTGCGTAAATGAAAGCAGGTGATATGTTCAGCTGTGTTTTTGTATATTTGATTGTTTTTGTTTTTGTCATTTCTATTAACTATTCGTCCATAATATTGGGCAGTCAGTCACCATACATGGGAGGACCACATACTACAGGGGTACCTGCTGCACAGGGGTAATGTCTCAGTACTCTGGAGTCACATGTTTTTGTGCAGGTGAATTAACTAATTTCTTGTAATTATATTGGCCTGAATGGACAAAACTTTTAAAGCGTCTGTATTTGTAATGCTATGTACTGTACTTAGATTGATATTGAGCTAAATTACATTACATAGCTTACATAAATTAACTTGTACAAGGAATCTCCAGGGACACTGTGGGTGGCCGTGGCAACGGCCGTCCGGCTCTCGCACGCAAACTCCTGAAGTCCCATTGATTCCATGCAGGATTGCCCTGCTGGGAATTTCTTCCTGTTGGTTGGTTAAGATGATCGATATCTAAACCTTTGCCTGCTCTGAGTCTACAGGAGCGAAGCCTTCTCCTGAGGAAGTGGTACGAACTGCTGACACAGCACAAGGAGGACCTTGCTAAACTGATCACTGCTGAATGTGTAAGTTACTTTCTTAAGTCTCAAAATGTGTAGTGTTTTGATGTTGAGGGCCAAGATGAACGTCCTCAGCAGAGTGTGGTGGTCCAGACTCCAAACCAGGAAGCATAGATTACATCCTGGGTGTGAGACCAGTTATACACGAAGCATAAACACTAATCACACTCAGCCTTCAAGAATATTTGGGGTCACTTTAGTGCCCCGATAACACTAACCAGACTAAACCAGTCTCATCCACAGTCGGCACACAAACGCTGACACCAGTGTAGGGGTTGTCGACATGGCCAAAACTACAATATTATTTGTTAGAATCCACATTATAGATCACAATTTTATTTTATTTTTAAACTATTTGTACACATGATATTTGCAAATTAAAATATATTGCTCCGTATCAGACTTTGTAAATACAACCCATTTTCACACAATTGATTTGGAAACTCTTTTATAGAACCAGTTCTTCATCAGCCATGCTGATTATTCAGTATTACTGCCGATCATCTGTGGATCGTGTTCACTGCTTGGCATGAGGGCAGTATTTCACCGATACCAGCATCGAGAATCGGCCTGATACTGCACTGGTATACCACTTGTAAAAATTGTCCAATGCCAAGAACCGATACCCATTAATTGCAATATTATGTTAAAACTGAAGGCCACGGCGTTTTCAGGCTGTAAGGTCTGTTCTGCTAAAGTGTCAAGCAGGGGAAGGGACAGCAAGCCACTTAACACAAGCAATTTGATCAAACATTCAATGACATTCTGTTTTTTTAGTACTGTTGCGGCCTTTGAACCTGCAGGCATTGTGTGATAGGCGCTTGATGCTTGTTCTGTCCTTAATAGTGTTAATGTTCTGCTCTCACTGCTCGAACTGACCACAGTTAAGCAAACAGAGACTCGTAGATAAGTGACAGGCGTAGTGTCCTTTTTTATTGTGACGTTCCCTTCAAATATCTACAGAGTGAAACTAAAGAAAAGCAAAGAGGAAAAACGTACTTTCTCTAACAGAAGAGAAACATTACGTTTGTATGTAAACGTTACTAAACAAAGCACGCAAAAGCTAATACAAACATAATATTACAGGATAATAAACACTGAAATGATATTTCACATATAAGTAACAGGAATAGTATAGACTATAGAACATACATCCGAAATAAAATATATATATGTGTGTGTATAATATAGCCACCATGCAGAAATATCGCCAACACAAAGCACTGTTAAATACAATTCACTAAAACACTTACTTTGCACAAATTGTCATCCATGATACTTTTAAGAACATATTAATAATCAAAGTACTCGCAGGAAATGCTTTCCGAGGAAGAACAAAGAAGGATAGATGTAAATTAAGTCTAGAGAGATCTGCCTTCTATCTCTGATGGCTAAAGCTAAACGTGGAATATTTCCTGTCTAACTATTACCCACAAAACTGAATATACAAAAAATAACAGCACCCCCTGCTGGCGACAATCATTCTCTGCCAGCACAGTTAAGTAGCGCTGTACTACGATTCTTGTGATTAACTCTGAAGCTCGTGGGTAATTATACCTGTTCACTATAAATTATGATCATATCACCCACCCCTGCTCCAACGGTGAAGTAATATGGACATCAAGTCTGCATCTAAGCAATAATAAAGTCTAACAGAGCTCACACACAGACACAGTGAAAGGTAAAGCCCTGTTTAATAGTATGGAAGGTAATAATGTCTCCCATCAGCAATATGAAAGTCAGACTGGAGAACTTGGTCTGTTCCAGGGTAAACCCATGAAGGAGTCCCTGGGAGAGGTCGCCTACTCGGCCTCCTTCCTGGAGTGGTTCTCGGAGGAGGCCCGTCGTGTATACGGAGACATCGTCCCTTCGCCTGCCAAGGACCGGAAGATACTGTTGCTGAAGCAGCCAGTGGGCGTGGCCTCCATCATCACCCCGGTGTGTGTGGCCGTCAGCCACTGGGCGAAGGAGGCCTTGAATGAAGCAGCTTGTGATGTCATCATTCATGATGCTCATTGAGGATAAGAGTGCTGATTGGTGGGGTCATGATTCTGAGAAGCATGTGTTAGCCCAACCCCCAAACCACATGGGCAATGCATTCAGGGAAAAAACCATTCAGTGCCAGATCTGTGTAGTTTGCAGTGTGCAGTGCGGTTTAACTGCTGTACCTTCCCTGCTGCGGATTTGTCTCCTGTTTAGGTGACGCTGCAGAACCTGCTGCAGCCTCGTCTCCCAAAACGTGTGACGTTTCTCCCTTAACTCTCCCTGCAGTGGAACTTCCCCAGCGCCATGATCACCAGGAAAGTGGGCGCGGCTCTGGCTGCCGGCTGCACCGTCGTGGTGAAGCCGGCCGAGGACACGCCCCTCTCTGCTCTCGCTCTCGCTGAGGTCTGGCTCTCCTCTTCCATGCTGCATGGTGTGACATTCACTGGGTGCAGTGGAGGGTTTGGGTTGACACCTCCTGTCTTTAATAGCTGGCTGCACAGGCTGGGGTCCCGGCCGGAGTGTTCAACGTGGTGCCCTGTTCTAGGGACCGAACCCCAGCTGTTGGAGAGATCCTCTGTACAGACCCCTTGGTGGCCAAAGTCTCCTTCACTGGCTCCACTGCCACTGGAAAGGTACAGACTAAAACCTGCAGGCTCAGATTCAAGGACCAGGTGCTCCATTAGGCGATGGGTTCACAATTGAAATATCTACAAGAAATCCAACTTTCAGTCAAAATAATAACCATTTGCATGGTCTTTTTATTCATTAATCCTGCACTGTTAGGAGGTAGCAAACTTCACGGCTGTGTTTGACTGCTCGTGGTCCTCCACCCTGTAGATCCTTCTGAAGCATGCTGCTGACACCATAAAGAAGGTCTCCATGGAGCTGGGTGGCCACGCCCCTTTCATTGTCTTTGACAGCGCTGACTTGGACAAGGCTGTGGCTGGTGCAATGGCCTCCAAGTTCAGGAACTCTGGCCAGGTACGAACATCCTGGGTGGGGGGGTGAGGAGAGGCCCCACCATGGCAACAGGTAGCATTGTGTTTAAGGATCTGGACTTGTAGCCTGTTTCTTTCTGGGTCGAGTCCCATGCAAGGTTCTATATCCATTTTTGAAATTCTTCCTTGGTTGAAAGGTGGTGATTTGCCCTAAAAACCGATCTTCTCTCCTCCAAGACGTGCGTCTGCTCAAACCGCTTCCTAGTGCAGAGCGGGATCCACGACCGCTTCCTGGAGCGGCTGGGCAAGGCCATGGACTCGGAGCTGCGGGTGGGTCATGGATCTGAGCCCAGCACCACGCAGGGGCCCCTCATCGACGTCCGCGCCGTGGAGAAGGTACGCTGTCCCCTCTGTTTCTGCTTAATCTGCTTCAGGTGTCCAGGCCGTCATGGTTTAGTAGGTTACGGTCAGTCAGGAGAGAACTTCACTTCATACAAACTTGTCCTAGCAAGTTTCCCATTCCTTTTGAAGGTCACTTGATGTCATCCTACAATTTATGAGAAACTGTCGGATAAGCTGACGGTCATCTCTGGCTTTAGAAAGTTGCTTCTGGCCTCCACCTGACTGTTGTTCCCAGTTTCTCCTTCTTCCCCTTGTTCTTGTGCACTGCTGTCTTAGAAGCTTTGAGCCTGGAAGCAGCCTGCTGCTCAGTGTGGCCTCTGCCAGCAGAACCAGGATTAAACCAGGATTAAACCAGGATTAAACCAGGATTAAACCAGGATTTAAGAATGCAGATTTTTTTTAAATATGGAGAAGTCTCTTAATTTTTTCCAGAGCTGTACTTTGTGTCTGAGCTTTGCATGTCCCAGGTGGAGCACCAGATCGCTGATGCAGTGGCTCAAGGTGCGACTGTTCTCCGAGGGGGTCAGAGGCTTGAGGGCTCCTTCATGCAGCCCACGCTCCTCGCCAACGTCACCACTGACATGCTCTGCACCCGGGAGGAGACCTTTGGGCCCCTGGTTCCCGTCCTCAAGTGAGTCCTAAGAAAACATTGTGTGGGGGGTGACTGGGGGGAAGTAAACCACCCCCCCCCCCCCGGAACACACTAGCACAACTAGGTGATGGGTGACATGCAGCCCAATCTTAGAGCTCAATTTCACCATCTAGCTTTGATATCGATATTAACTATCGGGCAAAACCTTGCTGACGAACCAGCGATGTCAGAACGCACCGTGAACTCTGCCTCGACAGGCAGCTACTGACTCAGACACTTTCTGATAGACGGAAATCGGCTTGGTGCGCTGCAGGCTTATGACGCACTGTGCTTGGATGGACGCACTGTGCTTGGATGGACGCACTGTGCTTGGATGGACGCACTGTGCTTGGATGGACGCACTGTGCTTGGATGGACGCACTGTGTTTGGATGGACGCGTGCCACAGGGCGCTGCAGACATGCATCAGGTAGTGGAAACAAAATGGCCGCGCTGCTTCATGAACTTTATTTCTGGTCTCCAGGTTTGACAAAGAGGAGGAAGCTCTGGCCATCGCAAACGCCTCCCAAGTGGGTTTGGCAGGTGAGCCGACGACTTTGTCTCAGGTCACACCTGCCGTGACTCGTCTGAAGTTAGTGAGCAAATCAACAGAAGTCTGTTTGAGGCTTTTTTTTTTTTTTTTTGTCAGCTCCACCAATTAGGTAACTCAGATCTTTCCTCCACCCCTGCCACACCTCCCCGACAGGGTACTTCTTCTCCAGGGACATCGATCAGATCTGGCGCGTGGCCGAGCAGCTGGAGGTCGGCATGGTGGGGGTGAACGAGGGCCTGCTCTCCACGCCCGAGGCCGCCTTCGGGGGGGTCAAGCAGTCTGGTCTGGGCCGGGAGGGCTCCAAGTATGGCATGGAGGACTACCTGGATGTGAAGTACATGTGCTTCGGAGGCCTGACTCCGTGAACAGCTGTGTGAAGATGGGACACTGGGGGTGGAGGTCGGCGTGCAGGTTTAACTGGTGATGTAGCTATACTGGAGTTTCAGTGTTGAAGCGGCTTGTTTATGATGTGGAGATGAACTGAATGTGAAAGGAATCTTGTAAATATTTATAGATCTTAATCTTACAACCGGTTGGTGCAGAATTTCAACAGAAAAATGAAGGGCATCCCATGTAGTAAAGTCATTTCTAAGTAATCACTGCTCTTAATAGTAGAGATTAGACTCAGACATCCATTCGAAGCTGAAACTGATTGCACTTAGTTTTAAATTTTTTTTGGCCATTTCAGTTTAATTAACTGGATGTTATTGACCAGCCATGGATATTCACATGGTGAATGCCACTGAATTATGGCTCCTTTATTAATTGTCTCCTTTAGGGTCAGATTATTATTGATAACTGGTACATAGAGATTAGATTATATTTTCATAAATGTTTTTAGATATGTGGTGATGTCTTTTTCTTGTCAGTTCGGTGTCTTTTTAAAAGTCCTAACAAGAGTGTGACTGTGACATTTTCAATGCAGCTGACCTGATTCATTTAGCCGAAATGAAATCCGTCCATTGCGACCTTGACCTGAACCCTGTCTTGTTCTCTGTAAGCACACAAATGTCTTGCCAAATACTGTGATGTGTCACTAAATGGTGACTTTGATTTTGGTGCTGATCGGTTGGTTGTGTCTGCATGAAGACGTCTATTTCCAAATGAATGTGAACAACACCGGTTTAGCCTTTTTGCTGACAGGTGGCAGATATGCTTTAATTACACAAATTAAACATCAGTAGGCTTTAATTTGAGGAAAAACAAAATATCTGGGGGCAGGTTTACAGGTTTTCACCTCCAATCAAACAAACGACAAACATGACACACCACAGTCTAGACTAGTGTTGAAGTGAAACTCCCAAAGTCATCCCATCTACTGCCATCCAGCCTTGCAAAGTCTTGCCAGTTAGTGTTGCTTTTCTCCTTGAAATGTACCTGTTTCACTGTGTATTACCCTTTTGGTGGTAAACATTCTAGTGCTCATTTGGTTACAGTAATTCCTAAGTTCCACACATGCAAACATTCCGTATCTTGACATGCCCCCCCCCCCCACCCCACCCCACCCCACTTTCTCCATAGCCTAAGGGCAGTCAGTGCTGCTGTGTGGGTTTAGGTCCTTGGCTGTTGTCGTGCATGAGACCCACGACTTGTGGCTGTGCCCCACTCTCAGCATTAAGGCTGCCCCCTTGTGGTTCTGCTGTGCAATTCACAGAACAACCATGGCTGTATGTACAATGTCCTGGAAGGTGTGTAGAACCCTCAGGGTGGGAGGTCTGCATACAACCATATCAAAGAGACGGTTATAACAGTATTAGAAGTGCAAAAAAATAGCCCTACGATAATGTAAGTCTGAATCATTCACGTCTGCAAACATCAGTACAGGCCCTGAACACAGCATATTAAAAATCAAGGATTTGTTGGCTTCTGCACAGTCTGTAAACACAAACCGCAAATGAAAGGATTGTACAGAGTGACTGGAAGGAACCACACACATTAAAATCACAAAATAAATAAATGATTAGCAATCATCATCATTAAAAGCATAAAAATGTTAAGGACCGACCATAATTACACCTACATTCACCGGTCACCGTTCCCAGGGCATTATGGGACACTTCCTGTTTCCTGGGCTTGTGTCCATCATTATCCAGCAGTGTTAGTGCAGGCCTCCCTGCCGATTACCCCCCCCAGTGCTGAGGAGTGGAAGCCTGCCGACCCTCAGCTGTCCACGGTCCGTGCGTTGAAGGCCCCCCCGTTCCTGGGGGCACCGTTATGCTGGTTCTTACTCCTGTCCTGCCTCTCTCGGGAGAAGATGGTGTCCTGATCGCTGTCAAACTCTGACTCGGACATCATCAGGCTGGAATTGTGCTCCGTGCTCCTGTGTTTGATGTCTGTTACCGGGAAACATGATGGATACAAGTCGCACTGTGAGTATTAATACATATGAGAATGCCAGGCCTTTGGCATACAGCTAGGAGAAATTTATCATCCATTTTTATAAAATAAAAAAAACATGAATTGATGATGAAGCAGCAGCGATATGAAAACAGCCCGTTGTGCTCATGGTGCATTCAGGGGCTGTTCCATTAAGGTCGCTCAACAAACCTGCACTTCAGTCAATTAACCTGCCGGAATTAGCGTTCGTTCCCATTTAAAGCTCAAGCCGTAACGTGAAGATGAATCAGCCGCACCTTGTTGACGTTAACTCAAGCCAAGCTTGTTAAAGCCGCCGTTGGGTACGACCACTGGCCACCTAAGCAGCCCTGAGCAAATGGTCATCGCTGACATCACAAAAAGGAGAAGCAAGGGGAGGGCTCTGTCGTGCAGCCAGGCAGACGCTTCTCAGGCCGACGCTGCTCAGGCCGACGCTGCTCAGGCCGACGCTGCTCAGGCCGACGCTGCTCAGGCCGACGCTGCTCAGGCAGACGCTGCTCAGGCAGACGCTGCTCAGGCAGACGCTGCTCAGGCAGACGCTGCTCAGGCAGCTAGACAGCAGATATCCCACAGATGAGGGGGCGCCGGCCGATGGTTGGCTGGTATTACGGTAATAAAATTTGCTGGCCGATGGTTGGCTGGTATTACGGTAATAAAATTTGCTGGCCGATGGTTGGCTGGTATTACG